ATTATATTTGGACAAAAAAATTTTAATTACATTTTTATTTTTGTTCTAGATCTTCTAAACATCTATTTTCATCGCGTAACAAAAACAATGAAGGTCCAAATTATAGTTAAAAGATAAGGGGTAATACTTTAGTAAACAAGAGTTGGTGTAGCTTGGTGGGTTTAGTGTTGTTTGTTATGTTAGAAGTCATGGGTTCTATCTTTCTTGGTGGCATCCTTAACATATATTTTATACAATCATTGTCTTGGTTCTCATAGACAACAGTGTTAATCATTGTCTTGGTTCTCATAGACAACATAGAACCAAACTCGTTATATCTTAGATGTTGCACTTAAGTACATAAGTGTTGGTGTGGCTTGGTGGGTTTCATTTAGTTTGTTATGTTAGAAGTCTCAAGTTCTATAATTCCAAGAGGCATCCTTAACTTATTTTATAAAATCGTTGTCTTGGTTTTCACAGACAACACATAAGTAACCCAGTTATATACCAGATGTTGCACTTTGGTACAAAAGAGTTTGTATTGTTTAGTTGGTTAAACCTTAATTGTTATGTTTGAGGTTATAGGTTTGATTCTTGTTGTTAACATCCTTGTTTATATTTTATACAACTGTTGTCTTTTATAAAATAATGATACAACAACGGTTGTCGTTGTAGTGTTGTGTATTCAAGTGCTATTAAAGACAACACATAAATGACAACGGTTAAATAAAACCGTTGTCTTTTATAAAATAATAATGCGCAAAGACAACGGTTTTAAAAAATCGTTGTCTTTGTAGTGTTGTGTATTCTAGTGCGCTTAAAGACAACACATCAACAACAACGGTTAAATAAAACCGTTGTCTTTTTCAAAAAAAGAACGCACAAAGACAACGGTTTTAAAAAACCGTTGTCTTTCTAGTGTTGTGTATTCTAGTGCGCTTAAAGACAACACACCAACGACAACGGTTAAAAAAACCGTTGTCTTTAAAAAAAAAAAAACGCACATAGACAACGGTTTTAAAAACCGTTGTCGTTGTGGTGTTGTCTTTTCACAAAATGCACAAAGACAACACACTTATAACAACGGTTAAGTAAAAACTGTTGTCTTTGACAAAAGTGTTGCATCAAAGACAACGGTTTTGGACCAAACTGTTGTCTTTTATACAAAAGACAACACTTTTCTTAAAAACTGTTGTCTTTCTAGTGTTGTCTATGTGCATTTTTCTTGTAGTGGAAGGTCTAAAGGCTCTTCTCGCCCGCGATGCCGAGGGAGCTCTCACGCGTAGAATACGCTAGTTTCGAGGCTTAGCCTCTCTTTCATTACCAAAAAAAAAGAGAGGAGAATTCTTAGGTTTTGTTTCCAAATTTATTATTATTATTTAAAATCAAAGCTTGAATATGCTGCCATATGACAAGATTGAAGAAGGAAATTAAGTTCAAAATGTTGCTCCATCATATATTTGAAACGTAATGTCGTAGGCTATTGAATAAGGAAAAAAGTTACTTCTTAATTGAACTATTACACAAGAGAGGATTACACAATCGGATAATGGCTATGAGTTTTTATCATCATTCAAAAATTGTAATTTTTTTGTGTAATAATAAGTACTTGTTCTAATAATTGATATCAATCAATTTATAGTTTTTAATAAACTAAAACCCGTGCATGCTTGATCCTAATATATAACATTGGTGTGTACTCTATTTTGACAATTCCATTATAGAATAAGTGCACTCTATTTTGACAATTCCATTATATTTTTTTTAAACACCCAAATGTTGATACTACTTTAATATAAATATATTAATATATTATAATAATAAAAGTTAATTTTAGCGGATATCCTTTGTTTTATTATTTTTTTTTAAATTCAAAATAAATTTAGTCTCAAATTATTATTTTTGCTATTTAGTCTCACATGTACGATGGATTCCAACCAACACGTGGACCGATAAACCGTAGTCGCTTATGAGTGACGTTGAGATTCGAACCCATGACCTTTAGTCTGGCTCTGATACCAAATTAAAGCATGTGTTCCATCTCAACTAAAAACCTAAGCTGATAGTTGGATACACATTAATGGATATATGCTCACAAAACTACCATATTTTGAACACTTTTAATTTGATCATTCTGATGACTTTTCCGGTAAATCATATTTTAGGTAAGGGTATTTTTGTCTCTTCAATTTTGTTATTATTTTTCAAATCAATTAATTCTAGATGTTCATTGTCTTTGATAGCATTTCCAAATCTAGTCATAAACAGTCATTGTTGCCATTTACACACCAGACTATCATATTTTGAATACTTTTGATCATTTCGATGAATTTTTCCAGTGAAACCCTATTTTAGGAAAAATATATTTTATGATGGCATATATATATTTTTTTGTTTGCTCTATTGCTATAGTAGATGAGTCAAAGAATCATGGGCTACAATAATAGCGGTGAGACCGAAGCCAACTGAGTAGTGACATCCTAAGCTTTTCAACTGTGTTGCAAAATGATTCTCTCGTATTCGCCTATTCGGAGGTCCTCACATACTCGGTATCGCCATTGACGAAGGACGATCTAGGCTATGTTGAAGGAGATGAAGACAAGAGTCGAGTGAAAGAGATGATGCAATCCACGACTAAAGAGATGAAAAAACAAAAAAAACAACTGGAGCATAAAACAAAATAAACAAAAAAGACAGAAATGCTCTTGCCTAAAATAGTGTTTTCACCTGAAAAAAGTCATTAAAATGACTAAAGTGTCAAAAATATGATGTGTTGAGTTTTTAAATGGCAAAATCGAATGTTTGGACTAAATTTGAAATTGTCACCAAAGATAATGGACATCCATTGAAATTAACTCGTTGAAAGACATAAATACCATTGTCTAAAATAAAGTTTCACCAGAAAATTCATCAGAATGATCAAAATGTCCAAAATATGATAGTTTGATGTGTTAAATGACAAAAAGCTAAAAACAATAGTCTTAGACTAAATATGAAACAATCAAAAAAAAAAAAAAAAAAAAAGAACATCCGATGAAAATAACTCTTATAATAATAAAAGTCACATGAGATAATATAAACTTACGATATTACACATCATATTTTTGTGAAAATGATGAGTACGAAATACACAAACACCATTCTAACCATGATTTGCGTTGTAAAATAGACTATTGATATAAATATTTGTTTTTAGTGTATTACAATTTTTTTTAATGTAATATAAATTTATTTTTAACGTATTGTCTAAAATTAAACTTCTAATACATAAAAAATTAATATTTAGTCACCCTCATAATTTGCCTTATTCTGAAGTAGAGAAACCGACAAGAGTGTTTCCAAAAAAAAAAAAAAAAAAGAAGAAATCGACAGAGTTTAACAGAGACGTTATGCTGTGGAATCGTGCCCAGCGTGCATCATGGGCATGGTAACGGTGCCGTCAAGCACCATTATTTTCCTCTTTTTTTTTTTTTTTTTTTTTTTTTTTTTTTTTTTAAATTTATTTTCAGACCGCTTCGTTATAGAAACATATATTTACAGCTTTGTGTTCATAATTTCATAACTATACATTCATAATTCAATAACTGTACATTCATAATTCCATAACTGTACATTCATAATTCCGTAATTGTACATTCATAATTCAATAACTGTAAATTCATAATTTTCGAAGCTCTATGTTCATAATTGTAAGTTCATAATGTCAGAGTTCTATGTTCATAATTTCATAACTGTACATTCATAATTCCATAACTGTACATTCATAATTCCATAACTGTACATTCATAATTCCATACTATATATTCATAATTCCATACCGAACATTCATAATTTTCGAAGCTCTATGTTTATAATTGTAAGTTCATAATTCCATAAATGTACATTCATAATTCTATAACTGTACATTCATAATGTCATAACTGTATATTCATAATTTCATAACGAATATGGCGTTAACGCCGTTTCGAACAATTTTTTTTTTTTTTTTTTTTTTTTATAGTTAAAACGGCGTCGTTTTCTTTAGCGCAGCGCAAATTATGCTGTGCAACCGAATGCACCTTGCAAGGTGCATACGGTTGCAAAACGGCGCCGTTTTGGTTAAAAAAACGCGCGTCCCACTTAAAAAAGAAATCAGGTTCGATTCCCGGCAATAGCATTTTTATATATCCAGAAATTCATAACTATATAACCACAATTTCATAACTATATATCCACAATTTCATAACTATATATCCACAGTGAATGAATGAAGTAAAAATCCACAATGAATGAATGAATGAAGTAAAAAAATCCACAATGAATGAACTAAATATCCACAATATATGATTAAACTAAATATCCATAAATTCATAACTATATAACCACAATTTCATAACTATATATCCACAATTTCATAACTATATATCCACAGTGAATGAATGAAGTAAAAATCCACAATGAATGAATGAATGAAGTAAAAATTCACAATGAATGAATGAATGAAGTAAAAATCCACAATGAATGAACTAAATATCCACAATATATGATTGAACTAAATATCCACAATGAATGAACTAAATATCCATAAATTCATAACTATATAACCACAATTTCATAACTATATATCCACAATTTCATAACTATATATCCACAATAATGCTATTGCTGAGAGTCGAACCTAATTTTTTTTTTTTAAAGTGGGACGCGCGTTTTTAATCAAAACGACGTCGTTAACCGTATGCACCATGCGCATGGTACATTCGGTTGCACAGCATAACTATTGTTAGCGCCGTGCGCATAGCATAATTTGCCAGTTAAACAGGCTTTATGATCAGGGCTTTTGATTGGGCTTTTTGGAGGCATATTTAATTTCTAATAAGAATCCGGCCCAGATTTGTTCACTTCTTATATATTAATAATTCAGAATTCCCGCGCGTGAATCATACTACAAATCAGCGTATTTATCACGCGCTTCTAAATAACGCTAGCCCCCCAAATATATACCCTTTCCGCCTCGCTAGGTTCTTCCACTTTCCGGTTTCCGCCATCTCATTTTAGCCCTTTCCAATTCAAATTCGCAGCTCGCAGCCAACTAACCCCCTCTCTTCTACAACCCTTCAATCAAACCCTTCTCTCTCTATATCTACACTCAGATACAGACACACACACTTTCTCTCTCTATATCGACAATGAAGAGAGGTGCAAAGAGAAAGGGGAGCCAGAAGGACAAAGCTCCTGCGGAGGCGAAGGAGAAGAAGACCACGAAGAGGAAGCAGCAGAGCAAATCCGCGGAAGAGAAGGAAAACGAACCGGAGCCGGAGCCTAGCCAGTCGGCGGAGGAGCAGAGCCAATCTGCTGCTCAGGAGGACAATGACAAGGAAGAGCCTAGCAAGTCTTTGGCTGAGGGCGAGCCCAGCAAAAAACCTACCAAGCCTCGAGCTAAACGAGCTAGGACTTCCAAACAGGACACTGAAACCGAGTACTTCCCCGAGAAGCGCAATTTGGTATACATATTTCGTTTTCTCTACTCGCGTTTTCCTCCAGTTTCCATAGTGTAGGGTTGTTTTGAATTACATTGGGGTGATTGCTTTGGATTTGAAGTTGTATTTTTGATCTGGTGCTTTGGTGAGGACGCTTGGTTTTTCTGTACAAAGCGAGCTGTTGCAGATGTGTAATTATGTGCGAGTATAGCTGCATATTTAGTTTCTTGATATCTTTATTGGAACTGTATGGGAGGAGGTTGCTAGATACAAAATCAAATGTCTCACTTAGCCTCTAATTTAGTTTATGTGATTCCAATTATAGAGGAAAGAGAATGAATTACTGATTCAGTACTGTAAATGCATACATTTGCTCCTAGAAATGCCTTTGTGTATAAAACAAATTCCTTGTATTATGTTTTCTGAATTTGTTTTCTTATTGTCTTAAATTAAAAGTAGCTGAAGCTCTTTTTGTAATTTCTGTTTTATCTCATGGGTATTTTAAAAAATATTTTTGATTGACCAGTTACCAAAGTATTGCTTTAACTGGATGTTCTGAGAAAGGCTTTGGCTAACTGCAATTCAGCATTGTAGTGGTGGAAACAAATTGGTTCAGTTGTGGAAGAATCTCAAGTTTGCTTAAATTTTTTATTCTGTGTTTGCAGGAGGATCTATGGCAACAAGTTTTCCCTGTTGGTACTGAGGTTTGGTTCTGATAACTTTCTTATCTTCAACAGGTATTAGATTGCACAATGCTTCTTGTTTCACTCATTGTCTTTGATTCTTTGTGTTTCCCCCTTTTCAGTGGGATCAGTTGGACATGGTCTATCAGTATAAATGGAACTTCTCAAATCTGGAGGTTAGTAGATTAATGTGCAATAAATTTTTTGTTTGTCATGTTGTCTAGAAATTCATTGTTTGAATTTTCAATTGCATAGTTGACACTATATAGAGTGGATAAATGAATTGAATTTGTGTGTGCTTAATAACAGGAAGCCTTTGAAGAAGGCGGAAAGTTATATGGAAAAAAAGTCTACCTTTTTGGCTGTACAGAACGTAAGTGTCAGATGTTCCTTAATTTCATTTTTTAGATTGTAGATAGTGCACAGAATAGCTTTCCAGTCAATTGAATTTATGCTTTCTATCCGATGAACGAAAATATTCTGCAATGATATTCATGTTGTTTTCATTGAAATCCTGTTACACTGTATGCATTATTAACAACATTATTTCATCATTTGCAATAATGCATTCTGTGAGTACCATATATTGGTTTCTTGCTATCAATTATCTTATTCTAATTCCTCTTTGTTCATTGCAGCACAATTGGTCTCATACCAAGGTCAAGCAAAAGTTACATGCATACCAGTTGTGGTTGCTGTAAGTTCCTAAGCTTTTTATATTACACTTGTCAGGCTCTGAGTTGTCTTTTTGCTGGTTGTGTTTTGAACTGTTCTAAGTTTCCTACATGTGTTATGGCATAATGAATAATGCAATTTGATGTTTCTTTTTATCATTAACATCTTATCTGGAATTCTATATTCTTTGCAACTGCAAGTATCTGTCTTCAATAGTTATCTTGTTCTATTGATACCATTTTTCTAACATCCCAAGGTAGATGCTATAAAGATATTCAGCTTCGAAGCTCTGTTCATATGATTCTCTACTTTAAAGTGCATAAATATATGTTTGAAAATTGTAAAGCCAATGAATTATGTATTCCTCAATCTATTGGAATGCTGGACCACAAAAGAAGACCGTCATATATATCATAATTTACTGCATTTTAGTATTTGGGTTTTCCTCAATTCTCTTTCCACATTTCTTCTTGGACAGGTGGTTTCACCTTTTCCACCTTCAGACAAAATTGGAATAAACTCTGTACAAAGGGAAGCTGAAGAAATAGTGCCCATGAAACAGATGAAAATGGATTGGGTTCCATACATACCTTTGGAAAATAGGTATTGTCATCTTTTGTTCAATCCTATTAAAAGGATTCCTACCCAATATGTTCCTTTTTCAAAGCAAATGATTCATTTCAATTTTCTTATTCCTTCAGGGATTCTCAGGTTGAAAGACTCAAATCCCAAATTTTTATATTGGGTTGTACCCAAAGAAGGTATAGTTTCATCCTACATTCAAATTCTGTTTAGAAAGTTTATTCTGTTGGTTTCAACCATCACTATTTTTGGGTGAACCTACAATGCTTTTTATAAACTTGGGTCCATCTAAAGATTTTATTTCACCTTTGAGTTTCTTTCATTTTACTATTTTAGCGAACAATTTTTGGGATTGTTATGCTTCCATGTAGTTTATCATTTTGTAATTAGGGTGAACACTTCTACTGTTGCTTTTGCTAACATAGGTGTTTCTACCAAAATTAAAATTTGACTGCTGAAAACATGTGTTAGTTCATCTTCCCCCTTTCCTCTCCCTGCTGAAAACAAAACATGCGTAGCACAAATTTTGGCCGCCAAAGCACTCTACTTATATGATTAATGCCTCTTCATTGTTTTCATAGGGCTGGCCTAAAACATTTGAAGTTGGAGCGTGTGAAGAAGTTTGAATATTGCCTACCCTGTGAGTCACCATATATTCCCATGCTAAAGATATACTTTTTTTGCTTCTATAACTGAAGTCAGCTTTCTTAGGAAAGACACCCCACTACAAATCATAGTAGCTCTAAGTCTGCTTCATTTCATCATTCACCCATGAAATTCTAATGCCTGCACAACTTGTATTCTGCTATTTTTTTTATTACTATAAAATTTTTACACAGACCATGTATGTGCCTTCTACTGTATTGATCGTCATTGATAAAACCTAGCAACATTGTGTGTCACTTCCTAATTGGCCCGTGTTTTTTTACTACTGTCATGAAATCATGAATATGGTTTAGAATTTCTGCTGGCTAATTATAGAACAAATGCATTTGAGTCAAGTATGTATTTATGCCAATATGCCATTTCTTGAAATCATTATATCAGCAGCTGTCTATGGGCTGTTCTTTTTAGTGATCTGCTTCAATTAGAAGTTCACTGACAATTTTCAATTGTCTTTCACAGATTTCTACCAGCCTTTCAAGGAAGATGAGCTTGAACAGAGCACTATTGTGGAGATTATATTTCCAGGAGAACCCAAACCTGTAAGATTTCTTGTAATTCTGAAATAGAAGTGCTACAGATATTAGGTGACATTTTTACTATATATTTCCATTTTGTTTATACTTTATAATGGGGCTTTCTTCCAGGTTTTCTGCGAGTTTGATTGGGAATTTGATGAAGTTGATGTAAGTGGCTTAATCACTTTCCCATCCCTTCTCCCTCTATTTGTGATTGGTTCAGTCAACTGACTCTTAACAGAAGTTCCTATACATTTTCTTATTTTAATTAAGGAAATATGCCTGCATGAAAAGTATGTTTTAGGTATTCTCCAGTATAAGACTTTGATACTTGTTTATACTGTTATTACAAATATTTATCATTTGAAACTTTGAGAGGTCTCTTGACCAATGGCCATTATTTTCTAAAACTTAGGTGATGATGGAAATAATATAATACTCTACTAAGTTCCTTTTTGGCCTAGTTTGAGCTTATTGGAAAATAGGCTTTTCTGAAAAGGAGCTATTATTTGCCTGTGGAAGTCTTTTTCTTTGTTTAATAATTGGCGTAGCTTATGCTTTTTGGAGTATAAGTTGTGAGCTAACCAAGCACCAAAGATAAACCATGAAGTATCTATTACTTGAGCAGAAAAGTGCATGTATTTCTGTATGTACAAAGCATGTCCTTGCTACTGACTTTGATTGTCGATCATATAGGAATTTACAGACAAACTTATTGAAGAAGAGGAGTTGACGGAAGATCAAAAAGATGCCTTCAAGGTAAACTTATTATTTGCAATAAGCACGTAACACTATCTTGAACTATATGTATTGTATTTTCTCTTGGTAATTGATGATCTTAAATTAGTTTACTTATATATTTATGTTTCTTTTTATATCAGGACTTTATTAAGGAAAAGGTCCGTGAAGCCAAAAAAGCTAACCGTGAGGTATTTGGTTAAAGATTCCTGCAAACCCCACCCTTCTTCCATCTTGCCTTTTTCTATTTCCTAATACTTTCAGGAGAAATATCCTATCTTTTGTGTTTTGAGCACAATATCAAATTTCCATATAGGCAAGGGAAGCCCGGAAAAAGGCAATAGCAGAAATGAGCGCAGAAAAAAAGGCTGCATTTGATGATATGAGATTCTACAAGTTTTATCCTGTGACCTCACCTGATGCTCCTGATGTATCGAACGTGAAGGTCAGAATCATGATTCATATTTTTTTCCTTGTAGGTGTAATTATTCTAGGTGCATTTATGGCAGCATAAATTGGGGTCGTTAAAACATAGTTGCTCTGGGTGTAAATCACAGATTGGAACTGTAAACACCTGATAATAAGTTCGTAGCTTTGATAACCTTTTTTCCATAGAAAATAAAATGGATAACCCAAACAGAACTTAATTCCCTCAACCTTCCTCCTGACACCTTTTAACTATGAAAATCTTTATGCAGTGCTTCTAATCAATATAGCATAGATGTACTAGTTGTTTGGTTTGCTGTTTTCACCTTGAATGATTGGTTGTCTCTCTGCTATCACTCTGCAATTTGTGATCGTTCTTTTTAAAATGTGAAGTAATACCCTGGGAAATTATCATGAAAACTTAGAAACATGCTTCATTCTGACAAGTTGAATTTTGTTCTGTATCTTTTGTTGCAGTCTCTATTCATAAACAGATACTACGGGAAGGCTCACGAAATTTTGTGACATACACCTCCAAGTAGGAATTTAATGGAGGAGATAGAATACCCATTTTGTTCTAGAGTGTAAAACTGATGACTCATCAGTAGCCCAGAGCTGGCCAAGTGCAGTTCAATTGAGCATGTATTCTAAAGTCTAGCTTCTATTACAATTTCATAGCGTATGTACTCCGTAGAGAGAGAGAGAGTATGAAGATGAGAATTGAATTAAATTTTGTTTTCTTCTGGTCTCTAGATTTGATTACACAACATTGATGAATGATGATGTTCTTAAGCTTAGTTTTAGGCCGGATTCTGAAGGTGAGTAAGTTTTATTTCTCAGCATTCTGTAATACTTTGTCAGAGAATTTGTTATTATTCCTCAATCCTCCTAAGGCTAAAGCTGTTGGCAGCAATGTACTATTATTAACATTGTACTATTCTGGTGTTGCGCTGTTGTAATACACATTTTTCTTGTACTATCTATTCAGGAGTTCAATGTGTATTGTCGCAAGGTTACGACGGTAGCTACTCTCTAGGAATGTTATTTGTGGTAAATAATCCATATATGAATGTAGTTTCAATTAGTATGTGCGGTAGAAGGCCGGATTTGTGCTAGCAGGAAGGGTATGTTATTAAACATGATATGCCTATACTTCAATGCGTACATAAGCTTTGTTATAAATATTATGAATTTATTTCACAATAATATATATGATTATATAATTTAGTATTTATATTTATATTTATATTTATGGACATATAAAATAAATATTATAGACATTAATAAATGTTATTAAATATAATGTATTGTTGATACTATTATTAATGACTTAATTTGCAAAATAATATTGGGCCGGTTAGTGGCCTAAAACAATGTTAGCTCACTGTTGCCCAGTTGTTATATTGTAGCATCTGAGTCCATCTTGTGGTTCTATGTTCATAATTACTGAATTATATGTTCATAATTATAAAGTTATATATTCATAATTATTGAACTCTATATTCACAATTACAGTATTTTATGTTCATAATTTCTGAATTATATGTTAATAATTATAAAATTATATATTCATAATTTTTTACTTTATATTCACAATTATTGAATCCCTATATTCATAATTATAGAATTATATATTCATAATTATGAAGAGTTTTGGTGGACACGGTTCTATAGCATAATTTGCCACTGTAGCTGCCGAAACCAAGTTTGCAAGTTATTCTATAGATTTAGGATCAAATGTTTACAATTTACATATTAAATGTTTATAATTTGTATTCTATATAAACACACAATTTTTAACATATAAATAATTTTAAATATTGTACACACAATATTAATAATTTAAGATTTGATGACCTTGAATTATATTCACAAATTCTCTTCTATAATTATATTATGTATTTGCCTTAGAAACACAATCTATATTTTAAAAATTTCCAATTTTAATATTAAAAATACACCATTTATAAACTGTTTAAACCAGAATCTACATCCCATTATAACTAATTCAACCAAGCTTCCCGGTATTCTTCCAAACTCACAGTTGAAAAAGGGCGGGAAGGGTTTCGGATACTTCTCTCGTTTTCTTCACAATTTCATCAAAATGTCTTTTGTTCCCAAAATCTTGTGAGATTGGAATGCGAATTTAGCGATTTTAACTTCTTTTTTTTTTTTTTCCCCGAAGAAAATCCGAAGCGGATGCAGGGGATGGATGTAATAAGTAAACTGCCAGCAGAAGTGAAGGAAAGGATTTTGGAGTGCTTGTCTTTTCGAGACGCGACCAAAACTGTTGTGCTCTCAAAACACTGGAAGAATGTTTGGTTTCTGCATGAGCGGCTTGTGTTTGATCCGGAGTTCTTCGAATGCTTCTCCGCAAGGTACGAAAATGATGATGATGAGAAAGAAATGACTCAGATTAGCGCAATACACGATATTTTCTTCCAACGTGCTGGAAACGTTAAGAAATTTACTCTAGACATTGTCGGCCCATCGGATCCTGTGCCCCAACAGTATGATTTAGATCTGTGGTGTCGTTTTCTTTCGAGAAGAGGTATATAGGAACTTAAGTTGTTTATTTTGCGTTCCCATAAGCTGCCATATTATATATTCTTGTGCCGGACAATTAAGCAACTCACTCTAGGCGGTTTCAATTTCGATTTGCCGATCCCTCGCCCTGGATGTATATTTCCCAGCCTCACTTCATTAGTTTTCTGCAGTGTTCAATTCAGTGATAACGTTAAGGGAATTGGCTACACTATTCATAATCTTGAGGAGCTATCTTTCTTTAGTTGTGGCAACAAATCTTTTACCCTAGACTGCCATAACCCAAAATTTTCTGTACCATCAAAATTTGATACCTCGAATTTTATACTTGAACGGACCATCTCAACAGTGCTCTGATACCAATTTGTTGAGATTAACCAGAACAAGAAAACAATACTCTAATGGCAAAAAGGGTAAAAAAGGCAAGATTTACGTGGTTCGGCAAAGTGCCTACATCCACGTAAATCTTGCCTTTTTTACCCTTTTTGCCATTAGAGTATTATTTTCTTGTTCTGGTTAATCTCAACAAATTGGTATCAGAGCACTCTTATTCATAGTGATGGTGATAGCGGTGACACAACCCCTTAGGGATACAACCAATATATTTATAAGCATCTAATCCCTATACAATAGGTCTACCCGTTTCACTCCTACTCCTAGTATGAGACAAACTCCTATTCCTAATCCATATATGAGACAAACTCAACAAATTCCTTGTTAATTTCATCATCATGGTTGTTGTGTTGTAGCTATGTTGCTGTGATGTAACAACGGGTACAAGACTTATGCAGGATCCAAACAGTTGCATTATTAAACAGGATTTGAAGATTCTTAACATAATCACGATTGTCGGGTTAGGTGGATCTACACTTGAAATGCTTTTGTGAAAATGTTGCTTTCAAAATCTCCTACACTAAAGAAACTTCTCATTATTGTATATGCTGATGATAACTCTGAAGATGTCACTAGCCGCCTAAGGGAGTTGTTGGTTTTTCCTCGTGCATCTCTGAAAACAGAAGTTGTTTGCATTGAACGAAAGCACAATTTGTTTTTATTGAACAATGAACACGACGCCCGACTCCTTTTTACTAGTTGAAAACAAATGTTTTTTTTTTAACCTTGTAGGAATTTAGTATGATGAAGCTAGCCCCATGGGTTCAGTTTGGTTTGGATGTAAAGGATGATGGACCTTGTTGGAGTAGACTCCAAGAATGTTCTTTTTTTTTTTTTGCAAATGTTAGTTGTACTGGATTTTAAATATGCTGCTGGTGTTTCTTATGACTTCTTTTAGAACTACTCAAGCATGTATCGGACTCATATATATATATATATATATATATATATATATATATATATATATATATATATATATATATATATATATATATATATATATATATATATATATATATATTAGCCAATAATTGTGATGATTTAAACAGGAATAAAGAATATGTTTGTATAATTTTTTTTTGAAAGCTAGTGGTTCTATTACATTGTAGTATCTATTCTAATTATATGTTTGTATAATTAGTTGCAATAATAACTTGTACATTATACTTGCTATACTGTATCCTTACAAATTTATTTCGATTTTACTCTTCGTTTTTTAAGTTGTTAATGATGTTAAATGAAATAACATGTACATCATGCTTGATGTGTTGGGTTAGGTATTTCTATTGTCTTTTCTTTATTTGCTTAAAAAAAAGTTAGATTTAGTAAAACAAGTTTAAGGTTAAACTGGGAAACGTAATAGTTTCATTCTCCCCCAAAAGGTTGAGGTTGAATTCACAACCCCAAAGGCACCCCAGCCCGACTGCTGTGTTGTTGATCTCTAATTAGAAAAATCTCTGAATTGGGAGATTCAAACTTGGCTTGTGAATAGTAATTTTCAACACTCCTGTAGAAGTTGGATTCCAGTAACTAAATAAATGAACCTGTCTCAAAATTGGTGGTTGAGTAGGTAAAATATAACTTTTATACCTAAAGACATTAAGACACCACATCTTGGTTGAGCCTTTAGTTTATTTCTCATTTGTAGTTTGCAAACACTATTACGACAGGACTCAATCTCAATACACACCCTTAGGTATTGCGGGGTTTCTCGTATCCAATAATAATAATAATCCTTTATATAATAAAGCTATATGGTTTGGGAAATAATTAATGTTACAATTAATGCCACAACCTCCTTTATTATAAAAAAAAAAACACAACATTTAAAAAATAAAATAGCTATATATTATATAATCATATAAAAAATATACTTTTGAAAAATAAAATAGCTATATATTATATAATCATATAAAAAATGTGTTCAATTAGAGTTTAAATTTACACACACAAAATTTGAAATTTGCTTTCCAAATGTAATTATCTTAGTTATTATTTGTATTGTGAAAATTATAATATAGATGAAATACAATTAAGAATAAATCAATGTAATTATGTAAATTATCTCTATAAATTTATTTGAATATGCACATAATTAGAGATTATATTAACCGTGCAAAATTATAATTATAATTAGGGGAAATTGCATCTTTGGTCCCTGAGTTATACCCAAGTTCCGATTCAGTCCCTGAGTTATGACTGTATGCATATTTAGTCCCTCAGTTATGAACAAAGTGGCGTATTTGGTCCTCGGCCGTTAAAAGTGACGGAAAATTTTAAAAAAATTTAAAATTTGACGGGTAAAGTAGGAAATTCACATTTTATTCTCCTTCTTATATCAAAACCACTTTCACAACATTATTTTTCACTTCTTAACCTCTTATTTCATGATTGTTCAATTTTAAAAGCATTTCAATAACTTTAGTATGACTTGTTAGGAACCTAGCTCTCGTATAACAAACTTAAGACTTAGCACAAAAATAAAGAAACATTTGATCATTGTCTTCAGACGTGTGAAACACACTATTCTATCAATTTTCAATTTTCCTTACTAAGAAACAAATGTAATCAAATCAGAACTTTTGAGATACAAAATGATGTCAAATTTCTCAGGTTGCTTTTATGAGAAATTCACCAACTGAATAACTTGAGATTTTTAGTATGTAACATTTTTTCGTATAGTGTGTTTCTTTATTTGTGCTAAGTCTTAAGTTTGTTATACGAGAGCTAGGTTCCTAACAAGTCATACTAAAGTTATTGAAATGCTTTTAAAATTGAACAATCATGAAATAAGAGGCTAAGAAGTGGAAAATAATGTTGTGAAAGTGGTTTTGATATAAGAAGGAGAATAAAATGTGAATTTCCTACTTTACCCGTCAAATTTTAAAATTTTTAAAATTTTTCCGTCACTTTTAACGGCCGAGGACCAAATACGCCACTTTGTTCATAACTGAGGGACTAAATATGAATACAGTCATAACTCAGGGACTGAATCGGAACTTGGGTATAACTCAGGGACCAAAGATGCAATTTTCCCTTATAATTATAATTTTAATTGTAATTTTGTATTCTATAAAAATAATAAATACTTGACCAATGGAAGCTCAAAAATATTATTATATTAAATTATTTAAAATATTTTAGTTTTTCTATTTTTTATTTATATTTATAATAACATAATTTTTTTCCGTGCATCGCACGGGTGAATTACTAGTAATAATAATAATAATAATAAATTAACAACCCAAATTAAAAAAAATTTGGTCATAAGAGCAAGATGCTTGTTCCAAATAATTTATAACACTTTACAATTCAACTTGATTCTTGAAAAGCCTGAAAATCCATTAACTCAGAACAAGGTTGACACTACGGCAGCTAGCTAGCTAGGCTTATTACAAACACTATACTACATGCATACCACAAAGATGATAAACTTCATACTTATTTCTCATAGTTGTTCCATAACCGTGATTATGAATGAAGGCTTTTACTATTCTGAAGATGGTTTTAACTTCTAATAATTTGTTCCCCAGAAGTAGTCGACGGCCAGTGAAGAAAAGTAATCTTTCCATTCTCGGGAAAATAAAACCATATATTTTCAAATAGTCCCAAAAAGGAGTCGTGTGTCATGTTCTTTGTTCAATATAATTAAACATATGTTTTCAAATAGTCCCAAAAATAGTTCACTTATTATATCAATCCACTGAATTTGTGAATAAAACAACGTTAGAAATAAATATAATTAAATATACCAATACAAATCATACTAACTTCCCCCGTCATACTTCTACTCAGTTCTCTCGTTCGTCCCACTAGTAACCTTATATAATCATGGGAGATTGTATATCTTTAGGGGGCGTTTGGTTCAGGTTATATAAGATAACCAAGGGAATGTGACATTCCAAAACTCACATTCCGGTGTTTGGTTCATATTATCTCAGGGAATCTAACATTCCCAAGGAATGTCACATTCCCTCCACATAGGATTTTGAAGGGAATGTGATTCCCTTCAAAATCTTAGGTAATCTAAGATAACCTTGGTTATGTTAGTTATATATATATATATATATATATATATATATATATATATATATATATATATTTATTTATTTATTTTTATTATGTTATGTTAGTTTATAAAATAATTTTGTTCCTCAAGTTCAAGATTTTAGTTAATATTTTAAAATCATGTGATTATATATGATACCGTTATCTTATTTATTTATTTTAATTTTTAAATTTATTAAAATATATGAAAATATGTTAAGGATATTATAGTGTGTATAAAAGATAACCCTAAACCAAACATCATTATATTACATACCCCAATTTTAACCAAACACAGGAATCTAACATTCTCAGTAATCTAACATTCCCAGCAATCTAACATTCCCTAAGGTAATCTTACATTCCGTGAACCAAACGACCCCTTAATCTTCAAAACCTTAACCAGATTCCTAATTATAATAGTAGTCTAGTTATTGGTGTTTCACCATATATCAAATTCTTAATATTGACACTTCTCCCGTTTTCTTGGAATGAGAATAGAGCGATTTTAACTTTTTTTTTTTTTTTCCGTAGAAAATCCGAAGCGGATGCAGTAGATGGATCTAATAAGTGAACTGCCAGTAGAAGTGAAGGAATTGATTGTGCAGTGCTTGCCTTTTCCAGACGCGGCGAGAACTGCTGTGCTCTCAACTCACTGGAAGGATGTTTGGTTGCAACATGCGTGTCGTTTATGGGATGAGGTTGCTAGATACAAAATCAAATGTCTCACTTAGCCTCTAATTTAGTTTATGTGGTTCCAGTTATAGAGGAAAGAGAATGAATTACTGATTCAGTACTGTAAATGCATACATTTGCTCCTAGAAATGCCTTACTTTGTGTATAAAACAAATGACTTGTATTATGTTATCTGAAGCTGTTTTCTTATTGTCTTAAATTTAAAGTAGCTGATGCTCTTTTTGTAATTTATGTTTTATCTCATGGGTGTTTTTAAAAATAATTTTGATTGACCAGTTACCAAAGTATTGCTATAGTCAGATATTCTGAGAAAGGCTTTGGCTAACTGCAGTTCAGCATTGTAGTGGAAACAAATTGGTTCAGTTGTGGAAGAATCTCAAGTTTGCTTAATTTTTTTTTAATTCTGTGTTTGCAGGAGGATCTATGTAAGCAAGTTTTCCCAGTTGGTACTGAGGTTTGGTTCTGATAACTTTCTTATCTTCAACAGGTATGTAATTGCACAATGCTTCTTCTTTCACTCATTGTCTTTGGTTCTTTGTGTTTCCCCCTTTTCAGTGGGATCAGTTGGACATGGTCTATCAGTATAAATGGAACTTCTCAAATCTGGAGGTTAGTAGATTAATGTGCAATAAATTTTTTGTTTGTCATGTTGTCTAGAAATTCATTGTTTGAATTTTCAATTTATAGACAAGATAAATGAGTTGAATTTGTATGTGCTTATTAACAGGAAGCCTTTGAAGAAGGCGGAAAGTTATATGGAAAAAACGTCTACCTTTTTGGCTTTACAGAACGTAAGTGTCAGATGTTCCTTAGTTTCATTTTCTAGATTGTAGATAGTGCACAGAATAGCTTTCCAGTCAATTGAATTTATGCTTTCTATCTGATGAACGAAAATATTCTGCAATGATATTCATGTTGTTTTCATTGAAATCCTGTTACACTGTATGCATTACTAACAACATTATTTTATTGTTGGCCAACATTATTTCATCATTTGCAATAATGCATTCTGTGAGTACCATATATTGGTTTCTTGCTATCAATTATGTAATTCTAATTCCTCTTTGTTCATTGCAGCACAATTGGTCTCATACCAAGGTCAAGCAAAAGTTACATGCATACCAGTTGTGGTTGCTGTAAGTTCCTACGCTTTTTATATTACACTTGTCAGGCTCTGAGTTGTCTTTTTGCTGGTTGTGTTTTGAACTGTTCTAAGTTTCCTACGTGTGTTATGGCATAATGAATAATGCATTTGATGTTTCTTTTTATCATTAACATCTTATCTTATGTGGAATTCTATATTCTTTGCAACTGCAAGTATCTGTCTTCAATAGTTATCTTGTTCTATTGATACAATTTTTCTAACATCCCAAGGTAGATGCTATAAAGATATTCAGCTTCGAAGCTCTGTTCATATGATTCTCTACTTTAAAGTGCATAAATATATGTATGAAAATTGTAAAGCCAATGAATTATGTATTCCTCAATCTATTGGTGAATGCTGGACCACAAAAGAAGACCGTCATATATATCATAATTTACTGCATTTTAGTATTTGGGTTTTCCTCAATTCTCTTTCCACATTTCTTCTTGGATAGGTGGTTTCACCTTTTCCACCTTCAGACAAAATTGGAATAAACTCTGTACAAAGGGAAGCTGAAAAAATAGTGCCCATGAAACAGATGAAAATGGGTTGGATTCCATACTATAGGTATTGTCATCTTTTGTTCAATCCTATTAAAAGGATTCCTACCCAATATGTTCCTTTTTCAAAGCAAATGATTCTTTTCAATTTTCTTATTCCTTCAGGGATTCTCAGGTTGAAAGACTCAAATCCCAAATTTTTATATTGGGTTTTACCCAAGGAAGGTATAGTTTCATCCTACATTCAAATTCTGTTTAGAAAGTTTATTCTGTTTGTTTCAACCATCACTATTTTTGGGTGAACCTACAATGCTTTTATAAACATGGGTCCATCTAAAGATTTTATTTCACCTTTGAGTTTCTTTCATTTTAGCGAACAATTTTTGGGATTGTTATGCTTCCATGTAGTTTATCATTTTGTAATTAGGGTGAACACTTCTACTGTTGCTTTTGCTAACTTAGGTGTTTCTACCAAAAATAAATTTTGACTGCTGAAAACATGTGTTAGTTCATCTTCCCCCTTTCCTCTCCCTGCTGAAAACAAAACATGTGTAGCACAAATTTTGGCCGCCAAAGCACACTACTTATATGATTAATGCCTCTTCATTGTTTTCATAGGGCTGGCCTAGAACATTTGAAGTTGGAGCGTGACAAGAAGTTTGAATATTGCCTACCCTGTGAGTCACCATATATTCCCTTGCTAAAGATTTACTTTTTTTGCTTCTATATCTGCTATGTTGTCAGTGATGCTTTTCTTTCAAATACTCAGCTATGTACTTAGGTTGTAGACTTTTTCCTTGAGTTTACTAATGCTACATTGACTTTTAAATCAATTGGCTATACCTGTTGTAGGTTCAACCCAGGATTAAGTAATCGTTTTTGGAGTGTATTTTTTAACTGTCACTTAACGAATGTTTCCAATGTCAGATGTTAGCAACATTCCCTTGCTTTGGTTCTGGTGTACCTTATGAGATATAACTGAAGTCAGCTTTCTTAGGAAAGACACCCCAGTACAAATCATAGTAGCTCTAAGTCTGCTTCATTTCATCATTCACCCATGAAATTCTAATGCCTGCACAACTTGTATTCTGCTATTTTTTTTTATTATTAAAATTTTTTACACAGACCATGTATGTGCCTTCTACTGTATTGATCATCATCGATAAAACCTAGCAACATTGTGTGTCACTTCCTAATTGGCCCGTGTTTTTTTACTACTGTCATGAAATCATGAATATGGTTTAGAATTTTCTGCTGGCTAATTATAGAACAAATGCATTTCAGTCAAGTATGTATTTATGACAATATGCCATTTCTTGAAATCATTATATCAGCAGCTGTCTATGGGCTGTTCTTTTTAGTTATCTGCTTCAATTAGAAGTTCACTGACAATTTTCAATTGTCTTTCACAGATTTCTACCAGCCTTTCAAGGAAGATGAGCTTGAACAGAGCACTATTGTGGAGATTATATTTCCAGGAGAACCCAAACCTGTAAGATTTCTTGTAATTCTGAAATAGAAGTGCTACAGATATTAGGTGACATTTTTACTATATATTTCCATTTTGTTTATACTTTATAATGGGGCTTTCTTCCAGGTTTTCTGCGAGTTTGATTGGGAATTTAATGAAGTTGATGTAAGTGGCTTAATCACTTTCCCATCCCTTCTCCCTCTATCTGTGATTGGTTCAGTCAACTGACTCTTAACAGAAGTTCCTATACATTTTCTTATTTTAATTAAGGAAATATGCCTGCATGAAAAGTATGTTTTAGGTATTCTCCAGTATAAGACTTTGATACTTGTTTATACTGTTATTACAAATATTTATCATTTGAAACTTTGAGAGGTCTCTTGACCAATGGCCATTATTTTCTAAAACTTAGGTGATGATGGAAATAATATAATACTCTACTAAGTTCCTTTTTGGCCTAGTTTGAGCTTATTGGAAAATAGGCTTTTCTGAAAAGGAGCTATTATTTGCCTGTGGAAGTCTTTTTCTTTGTTTAATAATTGGCATAGCTTATGCTTTTTGGAGTATAAGTTGTGGGCTAACCAAGCACCAAAGATAAACCATGAAGTATCTATTACTTGAGCAGAAAAGTGCATGTATTTCTCTATGTACAAAGCATGTCCTTGCTACTGACTTTGATTGTCGATCATATAGGAATTTACAGACAAACTTATTGAAGAAGAGGAGTTGACGGAAGATCAAAAAGATGCCTTCAAGGTAAACTTATTATTTGCAATAAGCACGTAACACTATCTTGAACTATATGTATTGTATTTTCTCTTGGTAATTGATGATCTTAAATTAGTTTACATATATATGTATGTTTCTTTTTATATCAGGACTTTATTAAGGAAAAGGTCCGTGAAGCCAAAAAAGCTAACCGTGAGGTATTTGGTTAAAGATTCCTGCAAACCCCACCCTTCGTCCATCTTCCCCTTTTCTATTTCCTAATACTTTCAGGAGAAATATCCTATCTTTTGTGTTTTGAGCACAATATCAAATTTCCATATAGGCAAGGGAAGCCCGGAAAAAGGCAATAGCAGAAATGAGCGCGGAAAAAAAGGCTGCATTTGATGATATGAGATTCTACAAGTTTTATCCTGTGACCTCACCTGATGCTCCTGATGTATCAAACGTGAAGGTCAGAATCATGATTCATATTTTTTTCCTTGTAGGTGTAATTAGTCTAGGTGCATTTATGGCAGCATAAATTGGGGTCGTTAAAACATAGTTGCTCTGGGTGTAAATCACAGATTGGAACTGTAAACACCTGATAATAAGTTCCTAGCTTTGATAACCTTTTTTCCATAGAAAATAAAATGGATAACCCGAGCAGAACTTAATTCCCTCAACCTTCCTCCTGACACCTTTTTAACTATGAAAATCTTTATGCAGTGCTTCTAATCAATATAGCATATATGTACTAGTTGTTTGGTTTGCTGTCTTCACCTTGAATGATTGATTGTCTCTCTGCTATCAATTTGCAATTTATAATTGTTCTTTTTTAAAATGTGAAGTAATACCCTGGGAAATTATCATGAAAACTTAGAAACATGCTTCATTCTGACAAGTTGAATTTTGTTGTGAATCTTTTGTTGCAGTCTCCATTCATAAACAGATACTACGGGAAGGCTCACGAAATTTTGTGACATACACCTCCAAGTAGGAATTTAACGGAGGAGATAGAATACCCATTTTGTTCTAGAGTGTAAAACTGATGACTCATCAGTAGCCCAGAGCTGGCCAAGCTGCCGTTCAATTGAGCAAGCATGTATTCTAAAGTCTAGCTTCTATTACAATTTCATAGCGGATGTACTCCGTAGAGAGGGAGAGAGATAGAATATGAAGATGAGAATTGAATTAAATTTTGTTTTCTTCTGGTCTCTAGATTTGATTACACAACATTGATGAATGATGATGTTCTTAAGCTTAGTTTTAGGCTGGATTCTGAAGGTGAGTAAGTTTTATTTCTCAGCATACTGTAATACTTTGTCAGAGAATTTGTTATTATTCCTCAATCCTCCTAAGGCTAAAGCTGGTGGCAGCAATGTACTATTATTAACATTGTACTATTCTTGTGTTGCGCTGTTGTAATACACATTTTTCTTGTACTATCTATTCAGGAGTTCAATGTGTATTGTCGCAAGGTTACGACGGTAGCTACTCTATAGGAATGTTATTTGTGGTAAATAATCCATATATAAATGTAGTTTCAATTAGTATGTGCGGTAGAAGGCAGGATTTGTGCTAGCAGGAAGGGTATGTTATTAAACATGATATGCCTATTACTTCAATGCGTACATAAACTTTGTTATAAATATTATAAATTTATTACATAATAATATATATGATTATATAATTTAGTATTTATATTTATATTTATGGACATAAAATAAATATTATAGACATTAATAAATGTTATTAAATATAATGTATTGTTGATACTATTATTAATGACTTAATTTGCAAAATAATATTGGGCCGGTTAGTGGTCTAAAACAATGTTAGCTCACTGTTGCCCAATCGTTATATTGTGGAATCGAGTCCTGGTTCTATGTTTATAATAACTAGTATTTGCGCCTGTGCGATGCACGGAATGAATTTGTTGTAATATATTAAGAATATTTGGATCGATATATAATTATTTAAATTAGAACATCAAAGATTATATAGTGCAATTGAAAGTATGGTTTGGATCATTTATGTGTTTTTATGTTATTAATTGCTCAAATTAATAGCTAATATGTAGATGTACACATGCGGTGTTGTAACTTTGGAGATTTTATTTATCATTGTTCAGTACTTTTATAAATTAATCAAATGTGCTCGTTCTCTAGCAACTCAGTTATAAAAATGAATTGATATCCTAATTTATTTGTATGGAAAATATATTTTTTGTCTAGATATATAGAATTTTGCCATTTAAAAAAACATAATATCACAGATTGTATTTACATACTATTGAAACCTCTTTGTAGACAACATTATTAGTAACAACACAATCTTGTCTATCTTCGTCTAGAGCTAACACCTTTAGTCCCAAAGAATGAGTGACTCGGGTAAAAATATATAATGGTAGAATTTCAGTCAATTAGTAATCCTTTTATATTTTCAGTCAATTAGTAATATCAAATTCATTTTCAGCCAATTATTCTTTTTTTTTTTTAGTCAATTAGAATATTAGATGTATTGATATTTTTACCTAATTTCTGTTCCAGTTTTAATGGATGATGTAGAATATTTTTATTGAAATATTTTCTTTGTATTTTTAATTTACTTTTACTATTATTTAAAATATGCATTTACTATTGATGATGTAGAATATTATTATTGAAATATTTTCGTCCAATTTTTAATTTCTGTTTCATTTTTTAATTAAAATGCAATGATCTGTCAATTTATTTTTTTCATTTCAATTATGGATCATTTTTTATTTGTAGTCAATTATTAATATTCATTTCCTTTTATAATTTCAGTCAATTAGTAATATCATATTCATTTTCAGGCAATTATTCTTTTTATTCTCAGTCAATTGGTCAATTAGAATATCAGATGCAGTGATATTTTTACCTATCCGAACCATTTTTAATTGATGATGTAGAATATTTTTATTGAAATATTTCCGTTCCATTTTTAGTTTACCTTTACTGTTGTTTAAAATATGTCTTTACTATTGATGGTGTAGAATATTATTATTGAAATATTTCCTTTTCATTTTTTATTTACTTTTACTTGATGATGTAGAATATTATTATTGAAATATTTTCGTTCCATTTTTAATTTCTGTTCCATTGCTTAAAATTGTGAAAGATTTATGATATAATTGTGATTTGATTTATTCTACTATGTAATATTATTGTGAAAAATTAAAATGCAATAATCTGACAATTTTCTTTTCAATTTTAGTCAATTATGGATCATTTTTTATTTTCAGTTAATTATTAATATTCATTTCTTTTCCAATTAACCTAATTTCTGTTTCTTTTTTTTTTCATTTTTAATTTTCAGTCAATTATTAATATTCATTTATTTTCCGATTTACCTAATTTTTGTTCCATTTTTAATTGATGATGATGTAGAGAATTATTGTGAAATATTTCTGTTCGTTTTTTAATTTACCTTTACTATTTACTTTTTTTTTTACCTTTAATATTTACTATTGTTTGAGCGGGAAATCAAGTAAATAGAATTTTGTTTTTAATTATATTATAGATTATAGATTATAGATTTTCCAGCAATCCAAACACTATGGATAAAGAAAAGTCATTTCATTAAGAAAATCAAAACTAATTAAATTAAATCTAATCATGCTATATTTATTTGTAACTGTATATTAATTTCATTTTGAAATCATTGGTTCACATATTTGAATTATTTATTTTTTTCGTTAATTACTATAAACAAAAATGATACTATACTAATTAATTTATGATATTTATCAAATTATATTTTTTAAAAAATATAAGATTTACACATGTTATGAGGGGTTAAAACATATTTTAAAATTATTTTTTATTAGTAAGTATTTTTATTTTTAAAATATTTTCCAGCTGCCCACACACTCCCTTAGTCTACCATAAAAAATTGATAAAGAAAAGTCATTTCATTAAGAAAATTAAAACTAATTAAAGTACATCCTATATTTATTTGTAACTATATATTAATTTTATTTTGAAATCATTGGTTCACATATTTGAATTATTTATTTTTTCTTTAATTATTATAAACAGAAATGATATTGTACTAATTAATTTATGATGTTTATCAAATTGTATTTTTAAAAATATAGTGTTTTACCGGCAATTTATATCATGCACCAGGGCGCGCATTGCATCGTGCGTCCTGATGCAATACATAACTGTATAAAAAAATACACATAATTGTATAAAAAATACACATAATTGTATAAAAAATACACATAATGATATAAACAAATACACATAATAACGTCAACCCCCTTCCGCGCCTCCCAAAACAACGTCGTTTTGGGAGGCGCGGGACGCACAGTGCTGCGCGCGTCGTGGTGCAGGGTATAACGATTGTGTTTTACCCGTGCGTTGCACGGATTTTTTTTTTTTTATGAATTTAAAATTAAAAATAGAAAACAATGAAAATATATTATAATGTACAATATAATAATATAGTTGGATTTTTATATATTTGGTCAAGTATCTATTTTCATAACATACAAAATTTAAATTTAAATTTTCTATGTTTAATATGATCTCTAATCATGTACATATTTAAATAAATTTATTGAAAAATTCACATAATTAAGTTTATTTATTCCTAATTGTATTTCATATATATTATAATTCTAAAAATATGAATACTAACTAAGAGAATTGTACTTCGAAATCAATAAAAAAATGTAAATTCTAAATTTTGTATGAATAAATTTAAACTCTAATCGGACGCATTTCCTTATATGATTGTATAATACATTGTATATACACATAATATTTATTAATATGTATATAGAAAAATTCTATAATATAATTTCAATAATTATAATTTATATTGATAGATTTATAATTAAAAAAATTACATTTAGAAATTTAAAATGTAGCATTTAAATATTGTATGATTATTATAGTGTATAATTGTATGTAAAATTATAAATATTCATGTTTTGTTAATTTTATACTTTCATTTCTTTAATTATATTTCATATTTTATTAATTATAATTTAATGAAATTGTCACAAATATTTTTAGGGAAGAAATATTATATTTTTTAGTTTCAATAATTATATTAATTATAATTAATAAATATTGTGGCAATTACCATAATAATTTCATTAATTATATTAATTCTAATATTTGTTCTCTTTCAATATTTAAACACATTACCATAAAATTATCATAATAATTACACGAAAGAAGGAAAGAAAATTATTAGAATAATTACCATTAATATTAAAAATTAATTATATATTAATGTAAGTATAATTTATTTTATGCCAATAATATTATGCATTAAGTATATATATATAATTATTGAAAAGAGGATATAATTTTAAAAAGTAAATTATTAATTAGATTACATAATATAACTGTCCTACTAATTGATTTCATACTACTATGTATAATTAATATATTTGAATTTTTTTAAAGCTAAATACCTATTAATTAACTTAATAATTAAGATAATTTTTAGTCAATCAATATTCAATAGTACTAAATGTATTACTTCAAATTTTTATAAATAAGATATAATATTATTAAATCGAAATAATTAAAAATAATGTGTCCATATTACAAAAGATTTTATAATAGTAATTTTTATTGCCTAATAGAATTTGTCAATTGTTAAACATTGTTTATGATAATTATTGTATGACATTTAATACTAAGATTATCAGGTATAATTTTTATAATTAAGGTATAATATTATTAAACCAAAATTATTAAAAATAATGTGTCCACAATATAAAATAAATTATACTTGTCTTAAATAATTATTTATTAATATAAATTTATAATTATAAATTTGTATACGAAAAAACATAGCAACTGAAATTTCTGGTTAAAAAAAAATCTCTCCATTTTTTTGTCACCAATTTATAGATAGAGAATGTGAAAATTATAAATTAATAATATAAGTTTCATTTTCCATTTCCTTTTCTATTCAGTCAATTAGGGATTTTTATAATTTTCAGTCCATTAATAATATACGTTTCCTTCTTAAATTTGCATAATTTCACTTTCGTTTTCCAAATCCGTGTTTCATCTGTTATTCCCATACATAATATTCACGTTACTATAAATTGATTAGCAATTAATACATTTACAATACCATAATTATGCAATATTACCAATTAATACATTTTAATTAATTTACATTAAACATATGCTTACCAAATAAGATTTATTAATTATTTGACTAAAAATATAAAATATTTAATTAATTTAGTACACGAGTTTGGACGTGAAAATGATGTAGGATGATTTTACTTTATATATATATATATATATATATATATATTATTGTATTACGTTCATATGAAATAATATTACCATACATACTTGTTAATATTTTGATTTATTAAATTGGTTACGATTCATATTATGGTATGAATAATTCTTATGCAATATACAATTTGGCAATTCAATTAATATTAAGATTTCGCGCAATGAACA